CAGTTTTAATTATAATTTTGTCAAGCTTATTATTTGTATTTTGGCATTATTTGGAAAGCTAATTGCATTTAAATTCCAATGGATAGCCCCTATTATTTCATTAAATTGATGCTTTGTAGGAAAATTTTCCCTATAATAACCCATAATTGGGATTACTGATTTACTGCTGAGAGTCAGACAAAGTGTTTTTAAATACAGTAAATCATTAATGCTGTTAGTACAGAATTAGACTTTCCCTGTGAGAATGAAAACTTCTATAAGAAAATTAAGCACTGGGCATTTATTACTAATATTACGTTACTTGTTTGTTTTATCATTACACTATTCTAAATGGTAAAGGGGCAGCTTTTATAGTTCCAACTTTAAAATCAATCTGGATGCTGGAAAGTGCACTTAAGACTCTAACTTGGGTTGTCACTTTTTGGTATGAGAACACCTAATATTTTGTTAGATATATTTGTAGGCACAGACATTTAACAAATTTGGGAGATTCCTTAGAATAATTTTGAGGACTTAAAAATTAATCTGTAGTCTCAAAGTCACATTTTTTTTAGCTAAGTCAACAATTAAAAGCTTTCCTTGATACTTAAAAATGCCATATAGTGACTAGTTTTAACTTGCTCTTGGGGGAGCTTTTCTCTGGGATCTCTCCTTATTGTAATAGGACCCTAATGAATGTAACACACGGGTGAAAAGGGAGTATTCTAACTGAACTTGCCACTAACTAGCATTGACTTAAACTGGCAATCTCTTCAGATTAGTAGTAAGTACAGTGCTTTAGGATTCTGTAGAATGTAGGTCATTTTGTTTACTGTTACATAGTGTGAACTTGAAAAAAGGTAATTCTGAACTGGGCATTTTTTAAGAACATAAATGTTCAGCCAAAAACCAAAGAGCAAAAGTAAATTGATGCTTTAGATAACTTTACTGTGAACTAAACAATCTCAAAATATGATTGTGTCTCCATCAGCTTGTATACTGTGTATAAGAATTTATGCATTTCTTTTGTAGCCACGCCATGAATATTTTAATGTCCCTGTGTACTAAATGACTGCTCATCAACTATGCAGAATTTCAGAGGAAATAGAGAACTGATATACTTATGAAAGAAAATGTCCTCAGCTTGGTGACTAATTCTCCTGTAAAAAGATAAAAGGCATCTTAGAGCTAGTACCTTTGTGATTGTATTTTTTCTGTGCACATTCCTAATTCCATTTTCATTCTGTATATGATATTGATATGTAGTTTATTTCTGTCTACCACTGTTTCTTCTTGACAAAATATGACTTGTGAATATTTTAATATCCTAAACACATACAAGTTTTCATTAGTAAACCATCTGTGATTAATCTTACGAGAGTATAACAGAAAGGCTGGGCAATCACAAATGTTTACCAAAGAAAATACAGTTAAGAACTCAGGCAAAATTAGCAGCACCACAGTATTTAGTCCATTGTTGAAGAAAACCAAGCTTTATTTAACACTAAGATTATCTTACAGTTTGTATGAGCTAATATGTTTGACTATCACATGAAAGTGTATGTTGAAGCAATAAAAGAAAGAAAAGATCATTTACAATTATATAAGGCCCAAGGCTAAAATATTGAATTTTCAAGAAATTTTGTAGTGCTAATATATGGTGAACCACATTTATGCCGTGTCAAACAGTCCCCTTAAGAACTATCAGAAAGCTGTGTCACAGTCTCCTGAAATGTTTGTTGCTCCGTAACACTTTTGAAGCAGTAACACTGAGCCTACTTATATGATACAAAAATTCTTATATTCATTTTCAATATCCAAATATATTTATTTTATTAGTTAATGGCTTCCTAATTAATATATTAAGCCTTTTAAACACTCAGTGCTGTGTTAACTATGGTTGTATATTTTTGAAATATTAAAAATTTTTAATAACACTTAGCATATTTTATTATAAAAACTACCAGGTAACTCACTGTTTAGAGTTTAAAGCCTAAGTAAATTATCATTAAACAATAACTTCAGAGGCATGGTAGTGTATACCTGTCATTCTAGCATTTGGGAGGCTGAGGCAATAGGAAGATGAATTACTATCTACCTAGAGGGTCCTTGTCTCAAAAGACAAAAATTAAATATGCCAAAAAAAACTACCCAAACCAGTTTTCCACTAAAGGATCTGTGAAAACGTTATAGGAAATGTAGTTATTAGGCAGCTGTATAGATGAACTATCTCCATTACCATCTGAAGCATCACATCACAAAACATTGGTCTTTCATTTCCATTTTTCACATCCTCCCACCCTACATGTTCATCTGATTTTAATGTTGCATAAATATGCATTGTCTCATGCCTGTTTGTTTTGGATGCTATGTGCTGAGCTGTAACAAAATGTTGCGCTTTTGTGGGTGGGGTATCTGTAATACAGCTGCTTGCTTTAAATTAGCAGATTCTGAATAGCTTTACCTGCATGTCTAAAATAAAGTATTGCATGTACTTTGTCTGATGTGAATGACTTTTTTCTACTCCATCCTTTTTGATAAAATAACATTTTATATTTTCATTTTTCCAGGTAATTTTAAAATTGTGATTTTTAAAAAATAACATAGAATTCACTATTTTAACCATTTCTGAGCCTACACTAGTGATAAGCATATTCATATTGTACAAACAGATCTCCAGAACTTTTTCATCTTGCAGAACTGAAATTACATAACGCATCAGCCAACCACTTCCCATCTCTCTCTCTCACTGAAGGAAGGCCCTGGTAACAACCATTCTATTTTAATCATTTCCCTAAATAATTTTGAGCTACAATTTCAGTGGGAACTTGTAAAAATTACATTTTGTATTATTAACAGTTTATACAAACATTCAGCTTATCTAGTCTTAAAGGAATAAAATAAAATGTGTAAATTAGGTCTTTTAGATAGGACATATATTTTAAATAATGCATATTCAGAAAGCAACATTATTCTCTTCAGACAAAAGACAGTGAGCACCCTGGAGAAATCTGATTACCCAGGGAAGTTATGGGCCATTTTTATCTAGATGGGCTGAGAATATAAACTGTATAAAATTCAGTGTGGGGATTCTTTAACATATTAAAGATTGCATGAAGTTTTTAAAATGACTTAATTTTAAATTCTCATGTACTTTGTCTGATGTGAGTGACTTTTTTCTTCTCCATCCTTTTTGATAAAATAACATTTTATATTTTCATTTTTCCAAGTAATGTTTCAAGTTGTAGTTTTAAAAAAAATATCAGAATTCACCATTTTAACCATTTCTGAGCCTACAGTATGAAATAAGTTTAGTAATTCAGATGTCACTCTCCATGTATTTGTTAAAGCCAAACATTTTTAAGCCTAAGACATTGGCATCACTATTCCACTGCCTTAAGAAATTATCATGAAAACAGACGAACCAGAATCCCATACAGAGCACTCATTTATCAACCTCATACCCACTTGTGTCCATTTCATCTCTAATGCTTGTGTGTATTCCTAGCACATCAGTTCCACAACAAACAAAATGGAAAGTACTTCATTTTGTTTTGGGCCTACCTCAGCTTTTCCTAATGATCGGAGGGGAATCGATGCCTTCTTAATAATTTGTTAAATTAGATCCAAAGAAATTTTATACTGGATGGTTCATAGGCCTTTTGTCTCAATTTTTAGCAAGCCTATTATTTTTGTTTTTGTACTCCTTGCCATCAAAAGCCAAAAATGGACTTTTTGATGCCATACACTTCCCCACATTCCTAGTTAGGTGATTACATTCTTGTGGCAATGTTTACCTTTTTCTTTTCTCCTCCATCTTAGATCTGTCACCTGATCACATTGAAGTTCAGCTGGGGGCAGGAGCAAGTTTACTTCATAGATTATACTACCTTTTGGAAAAATGTCCTTTCACTAAAGCTGATTTTCACTCATTTCTCATTACTAGACAAGCATACTAACAGGCATTCTATGAACTTTTTAGGCTATAATATTAGTACTAAATGCTAAATCCCTACATTTAGATTTCAGTAGTGTAACTATCAGCTAATATACTTAGAAGCACTTTCTTTAACTCAGGCATTGAGCCTTAAACGCAATCTCAACACATGAAGGTAAGTACTATTTTTGTTTTCCAAATATGGAAACCACAGTAAGTCATTTAAGATTACACTATGTAGTGCATTTCCTACCATTCAACCTAACATTCTAAGAACTCTGATGTAATATACTTTTCCTTTTCCTTGTTTTGTGCTGTCTCCTGATTAGGATGCAAAAGTAAGTTTATTATTGGATAACAAAATCTCACATTGTTTTCATCTATTAAAGGAACAATGTTGCCTTTTAATTATAAAACTGCTAGTAATAGTTAATCACTGACCTATGTGGTCCCTTTTTATTTTTGTAGTGTACAAAATTGGCCAGTTTGGAAAATTTTAACATACCTTTTTTAGATTTGGGTGATTTAGCTTTGACATTTAAAAACAAATATTCATTCTTATACTAAGATGAAAAGGCTTTTTGTTTCATAGTGTTTCTTCTGTATGTCACCTCCACCAGTGCCAGTGGTTGCCCAAGGGAAGGCTAGAAAGGTGGCTGTTTCTAAACCATTTGCAGTAGACAGTTAAGAAAACCTAGACATTTCTCTAGATAATGTGCGACAAGGCAAACCTTATTCAAAGTTCTAGATGACTCACTAGAAATTGTGAAGAGGGGCTTTTTATTTGGGAGACATATTGAATTTTAATATTTTCTGTATATAATTTCATACATTGCTAGTCAGTTTACAATGGGCTTGATTGCTTTTTGTTATTGCAGTGGTGCCTAGCTCAGAAATTAGGTATTTAGTAAATGCTGAAAACATTCTTCAATGTTTTAGGCATCCATCTTTGAAAACCACTGGCTGTCACTAATAGAATTGCCTCCTTCAATCTCTGAAATGAGCATGCCCTTCATGTGAGCTTTTCATTTCTTAAAACTCTCCCTCTATCTGCTTACCAGAGTCTCACATTTTTCCTCCACAGGAAGCTGAAACCCCACGCAGTGTTCTTGAAGAAATTGGACTGACATAATTGTCCTCCCTTGCTGATGACTTCTTGTGGCATTTCACATACTGTAGATGGTCACTGCCTCTCATGTCCATGTTAGCTAATGGTGTAAGATGATGTCTTGTCAGTATTACTGTTTTGCTAAGCTGCTTCATTCAGGCCTACCCAATTTTTTTTTAAAGGGAACTTTGGTTAATCAAATGATAAATTAAGGGACCTAAATACAAATTAGAAAGATGTAGAAAAAGTAACACTTCTGAAAGTCAGTCTCATAATTATGTGCATATATAAAAATGATATGTCTATATTCATGTATACCCAACAATCTGGCAAAATACATTTACTACTATACTTGAAAAAGGAAACTTAAATTCTGTGAAACCTGGTTTGACGAAACCAGACTTGAGTAGTATTTCAGTATATGTAAGAAGAAAGGAAATCTACACATCATGTATCAAATGAAAGAAAGTTTATTGAAAATTTAAGCAGCCAAATTTGTACCAAAGAACCTTATTTGGATACAACATACATTCAAGCAAAGGGAATCGATGCTTTAGAGGACTAACTTAGAATGATGCTATTTTACAATAAAATTAAGTATTCTGAATAAGTGGGACAGGGAACAAAGACTTTCCTGATCTTGAGCACATAATTTTTAAGGCCAAGGAACATTCGACTCCTGAGGTGAAGTTTTAGTGGTCATAATCATGTAGCTACTAAATTATTTTCAATGCCCCAAACTAAGTAGGATGGTAAATTACCAGGTATGTTTCTCACTTCACAAAGTGTTACATAAAGTCATAATCTAAAGCATGAATGTTCCTTCTGGAGTGCTTGTTAAAGCCTTTTTTTTTTGCTTCCCCATTGCTTCCTTCCAATTATAAGTGCTACAAGCTCGACAGCAGCTCCCTCTCCTTCCCTATCACTGCCTACTCATTGGAAGTCTTACGGAAATTTCAGATACCTTTCATAGAGCAAAGTGAGAGCTGAGTCAAGTAAATGGCATAAGTTGGCCCTCTATTTTTTCAAGCTATATAAATGCTCGGCATCACTTTTATAAATACTGACACATACCTGAATACCTCCCCCTGATTTCTACTTTGCCCTGTATATGCTAGGCTGGAGTAAGCTTTGCTGTGATTGTGAACAACTTTCAAGCCACTTGAACACTGTCTTATCACATCACCGATTAATAGTAATAAATGTTCTACAAACACTGTGGTGGTTCTCTTATCTCTTTCCAAAAGTTTTGTCAAACTAGGGAGAGCTGTTGAAAGAAGGGTTCTGCTTTTTCGATACAGTGCTGACAATCCCTCTCATCTGACACCCCATTCCCTGCACTGGAATGTGATAGTACTTGCACACACACACAAAAACGGCAAAAGAGTCAAGGAATTTCCATGTACATCCAGCTCATTAAAAAAAATCACATGAATTCTATGCTATCAAGAACTTACAACACATTTATTTTCAATTAATAAATGCCACTTTTAAAACCTTGATGCAATTGCCTTCTATACGCTTTCTGATTTAGCAACTCAGATTACTCCGGATAATCAAATAATATCCAAATGATGAATCCTCACCTCCTACATGAGGAAGTGCTAGCACATGCAACAGACTAATTTGCTGACTGTGCTGCCTAATGTAAGCAACAAGTCAAAACTTCCAGTTACAACAGTGATAATGGTTATGGGGCCTTCTGCTACTACGAATAGAAACCGGTACATTCTAAGCCTGAGGTATTTAAGAATGAGGAAAGGATTCTCAGCAAATGAAGTTGAACAGTCATCTGTAGATTTAAAGGGCTTTTGTGAGTGAAGCTGTTCACTGAAAAGCCCGTGGGCTTCTGTCAGTAATGTGGAGTTGAGTGGTAAGTGGTTTAGCACAGACACATAGGCACCCGATCATTAGAGTAAATGTAAGCTCAAAGTCACTGTCGGGGTAATGATCTAGTCACAGGTTTTCTCAACTTCCCCTGCAGTCTGTACTGGCCAATTAACATTTGAGGGGAAGGTAATCACCTGTTCAGTTGTCTTCACTTTCCATCATGATCTAAGAATATTTAGCTTTACGACCGGGGATGTACTTCAGTGGTAGAGCCCTTGCCTACCATGTTGGAAGCCTCAACATCACACATACAAAACAATCTTTACATAATCTTGGCTGAAGCTTGAACAGTATTTTAAAAATACCGAATTTACTTAAAATTATTCAGCATTAATGAACCTAGTGAACCTAGTCCATAATTTTTAGTGTGAAGCAAGCATTTAGAATCAAAACAAGTTGCATTTTCTTAAACATTTTTTAACATTTTGTGCTTTTTTTCTTTCCTGAAATGAGGCTGAGTCTCGCGCTCTAGCCCTCGCCACTTGGGCTCCCAATTGCAAGGATTCCTGGCATAAGCCACTGCACGCAACCTGTATGCATCTTTAATGAATTCTCAAATGTCAGATTGCTAAATATCACGTGACTGAATCTCAAGGTCCAGAGCGACAGTGAAAGACTGAGAGGAGAGCATCTTGGGAACGCTAGGGATAATATACATGATCCTACATTCACTTCTCCGCTGATCACTCTTCTGTGATTATTATACCAGGACTGTTTTAAAGTGCATGGAGTCAGTAGTGACTCTAATTTTCTGGGAAATGACAAAATGCCTGTATATAAAGAACTTTCACAACACACTATTCAAAAAGGATATACACCACAACAGCCCCCAGGTGAAGAACAAACAAATCTAAGAGGGTCATCTTTAAAAATCCAACAATAGGGATATTATCAAATAAATGTAGATGTATTATTCTCTATGTGGTAAGTAAAAATACGAATTATGGGACTACAGAATCAGGATTGATGAAATGAGACAATTAAGTGAAAAACATTAAAGCCATATGTGATCTTTGAATTAAAATATAATGTGTTGGGCTGGAGAGATGGTTCAATGATACTCTTCCAGAGGACCTGAGTTCGATTCCCAGCACCCAAATGGCAGCTCACAACATCTATAACTCCAGTCCAAGGGATCTGACGCCATCTGCTGGCCTCCGTGGGCACTAGGCACACAAGTAGTGCACACGAATACATGTTAGCAAAATGCCCATTTGCATAAACCAAAAGTAAAGGGTATGGACACTTAAGAATAACAAGGTGGGCTAGCAAGATGGCTCAAAGGGTAAAGATATTTGGTGAGAAAGCCTCATGACCTCAGTTCAATCCCTGGATCTCACTGTGTAACTGACCCCTGAAAATTGTCCTCTGACCTCCATACTTGTGATAATTTACACAGAGAAAAAAATACAGAAAACGAAAAAATACTAAAGTATTACTCTAATGTTAACTGATGCTCTCAAAGTTAGGATTACAAGTAATTTCATGTTTTATAGATACAATTTATCAAAAAGTATGATTTACATCATAGTATTTAGCTAGCCTTGTCAAACTACACAGGTGAATTAGCTGCCATAGAAAGACAGATTGATATTTTAAAAAAACCAAGTTTATTTAGATTTGGGACTCTGGGTGGTTTTGTCTCTACTACCTGACTTCCTCCTGCCATGACTCCTGGACCTCGATGAGCTCCAGCTCCAACTTCGGCTCCTACTTCGACTCCGGCTCCTGCTCCTGCGGCTCCTGCGGCTCTGTCTCCAGGGGCCTGGACTGTGATCCCTCCTCCTTCTTCCTCTGCTCAGTGAAGGGCGCCTCTCACGACTTTTTGTCACATGTCTGTGAGACTTCTTACCCCTGTGAATACTACTGCTCTTCCTGTCAGATTCACCGTTTCTCTTGTGGGAGAGGTCTGGACTCAGGCTCCTTCGTCTTCTTGACCTTCTGTAGTAATCATAGTGACTGGTCCTTTCCCTCCTCTCCAAATTCTTACCAAAGGAGGAGCTTGTCCAATATGAAGACAGGTAGATGTCTCTATTTGCTTCCCTAAATTCATTGTTGGGGTTTCTGAACACGTGAAGAAAGTTGCAGTGTTTTCCTCTTGGACACTGCTGTACTTCATATAAGCCTGTGAGGGCGAGTGAAGAGGCAGTGATTATCACTATGCATTACTGTAAGTCATTCTTCTGAAAGCAGATGAGGTTCTCAAGTCTGGGTGTGTCTGCACTGTTTCTTATAGTGTACCATGTAGATAAACTGATGCCCTCATTTGCTGCCTATGATTGCAAGAACACTCAAATGCTACAAGGTACCCTAAAAAGGTCACCAACTAGTTTTAATTAACCAGAGCATCTGTGTCTTGTGGTGTCAACAGAGTGCTACTGAACGCATGGTGACATCATCCACTGACTCAAGAACTGGACTTTGCAATCCATATATTAGCAGTTTTCTGAAAGCATATGTTGGTCAGGAAAAGTCAAACATAGGTGGGGGATCCTGCAATGTTATTTACATAAGAACATAATACCCAGGTATGATGGCACACTAATGTCCACAGCCTGCAATACATGAGGTCCTGTCTCCAAACACACAGATACAAAGAAAGAGGGAAAACAAAAAAGAAAGAAGGCCTTTGTGGCTGAAGGTAAATAAAATGAGCTAGCATTTGCAGCTGACCTCTGGGATCGGGTACTGGTATATATAGAACCATCAAGAAATTTCTAGAGCTGACTAATAAAAGATGTAATGTGGCTAAAAATGGGCACCCACCTAGGGATCTCTCCAAAGAAGATATTTCTGAAGTTTATTATTAGTAACAATAATAATTGTTGTTAGAAATGAAATAAGACTCCTAGTTTGAGGTTTCAAAGTTATACTCAAGGATATCACTGGACTCACACTGCACCTTGAGGAACTAACAAAACTGAGTGCCTAAAAAAATACACTGCCATCTTGTTTATCTGCCCAACCCATGAACTTAGGGTAATGGTGGTTCTTGTTTTTAAATACCAAACACACACACATTTTGCCAACACAGGGTTTCTCTGTGTAGCCCTGGCTGTCCTGGAACTCACTCTGCAGACCAGGCTGGCCTCAAACACAGAGATCCACCTGCCTCTGCCTCCTGAGTGCTGGGATTAAAGATGTGCACCACCACCATCCAGCCATCCAGCTTTTTTATTTATTTTTAAATTTTTAAGGTTTATTTTATATATATATGTGTGTGTGTGTGTGTGTGTGTGTGTGTGTGTGTGTGTGTTTTGCCTGCACTTATATATGTGAACCATATACATGCCTACTACCCATGGAGTCAGAAGCTGTCAGAATCCCTAGAACAGGAGTTACAGCCAGTGATGAGCCAACATGTAAGTGCTGGGAACTTAACCTGGATCCTCTATAAGAACAAGTGGTCTTAAACACTGAGCCATCTCTGTAACCCCTGCTTTTTGATAGCTATCACATTAATTAACCAATTAATTATTTAAGAAAAGGTCTCATTATATAAAGCCCATGCTGGCCTTGAACTCACAATCCTGTCTTGGCTTATCCCAATTTTGGAATCGAAAACGACATCATCCATGCCCATCGTAATTTGTTTTTAATGACAGCATTTATTAAGAAAGGGCTGCTAAAGAATTAGACTTGCTTTGATACAAAGCACCTGAGAAGGAAGAGTGGCGAAGCACAAGGAGCAGGCAGAAGCCCACCCCTGAGTTACGAGAGCTCTGTGTCTCTTCGCCTGGGGAACTTTTACACTTCTTTGGCTAAGCATGCTTTTAGAAGGCGGAACATGGTGAAACCTTCAAAGCGGCTGGTAACTCTCAGCAGTGCTGAATCATTTCCTGGTTTGGCTGCTGAGCTCAGATGAGTCAGTGGAACTGAGAGCACCCAATGTACAACTTAACTGATCCACACCTACTAACGGTCTCAAATGCACAAGAGCATGATTTCAAATAACATGGGAAGTGTTAGCCATGGGTAATGTTTGTGGTGTTGATGGTGGAAGATTCCTTAGGGATCAAGACTGAAATAGCCAGCTCAAGTGAGGAGAACCAATGAATAGGAAATGCCTCGGAAACTGCAGTGCAGATCATGTGGGGACCTTTGGTTTAGACACTGCACTGTCACACACAGAAGCCACGACTGAGGGTCTGAAGACTGAGATTCAAGCCACAATTCTGTCACCAATCTATTGTGACCTCAGTCATTGCAACCATAGAGTGACCCACAGGCCCGTACAGATCTAAACTGTGGTGTCCTTTATATAACCCACTCTGCTCATCTGTAGTATGAGACAAAAACTGTACTTCATCCCTTTAAAACATTGTTTTCTTCCTATAAGATTCCTTTGTATAGTGCAGCAGTGGGGGAGGGGTGTCACTACATTGGCTTTTACCACAAATTGCCATTTTCCACCGGGTCACTGGGCAGAATTCGCACTGAAGCTGTCGTCCTGCATACCATCGTCCATTAAAAAGAGAAAAAGCTGCTTGACAGTCTTCTTCCCTTGGAAGCAAAAATCAAAGGTTGTGCTTTTAACTCTCATAGGTAGAACAAACCTATTCTGAATTAGCCCTCTTGTCCATTTACTGTAGGACTACCAAGTTCAGGTCTTGTACTGCCTAGGTAAGTCTTCAGAGTACTCAGGTTCCCACAGCCTAGTTTATTCAGGGACCTTTGTCATTAACCCCCTGAAAGGTTTGTTCATAAGGAAAAGTGGCTGGTATCAAAGCTTCTTAATCTGCAAGATTAGACCATTAAATCTGCAGAACCCATGCTTCTCAGCTAGGACTGCTATTCTTCTTATTACAATGGTTAATTAAAACCATCAGCCATGGTACCACTTAGAGAAATGACAATACATCCAGGAATGATACAGGAACTACATTGCTAGCTGGTCAAATGCAGACTATTTGGAGTTTTAACCCCTTGTACCTTAGGGATTTTCTACTCTATTCTAATTAGCCCCCTTTCACTTTGTATTTTAGTTGTGAGAATTATAAAATATATATAAAACCATATTTATAAAAGAATCAAAACTACTTAAGTATACAAAAAATGAAAAAGTATTATTTTCAACACTTGGCCACTTCACCGTGAGCTCTTCATATTGACATTTTGAAAAGTACCATGCATAGGGAAGCTATATATTCAGCAACATCAAAAGAACATAATACCCTAAGTATGATGAAACATGAAGGTGCATGTATGTTTATAATACTTACGACTGGTACTGAACATACACATTGCCGCGCAGATGGGGTTCCAAGTTGCAGCTGACCTAAGGAACAAAGAATGATGTTAACAAAAGAAAAAAAGTTTCCAAAAGAAGCCAACTACCAAATGCATCTTGTCCAAGCTTAGCCCCTCGAAGAGTCCATGGAGATCAGCACACCTGCTTATCAACTCAAGGCATATCTAAGCACCTAACAACATTGCAGACCTTAACTGCCTCATCTCCACTAAGCCTTGGCTGTCATTTTTAAACCCTAAAAGTACGAAATGCTTCACAGATATATAAAAACAGAGTACCGGAAACATGGCTCCGCAGTTAAAAGCATTTGTTAGGTGGGGGCATGGGCTGTTTCTGTCTGGAATACATATGTATATGTGTAGATTTCTAAGACAAATGTACACATTTAGGCATACATAAATTATGTATGTGCCAGATAGGGAAAATACATCATATACATAAATATATAAATATATACTAACCAAAATGGTATATATAATAATTATACATACTGATTCAGGTGAGTCCAATACATAGCCTCCTGTGAGCCACATGTTGACAGTTATGAACGTGGAAACACACAAAAATCACAGTTCAATAAATCCTTTTGTTTTTGTTTTGTAACTCGATTGCAGTTCTCAGGCATGAACTCTGTAGATAACATTATGTCACAATGTCAAAGGTCTAGACACACTTGCTAGTATTGGTTTGTACCTTTGAAATTGTTTAACCTTGTTTTTGAGACAGGGTCTCTACATAATCCTGACTGTCCTGAAACTTACTATGGAGACCAGGCTGGTCTCAAATTGACAGAGATCTCCCTGCCTCTGCCTCTCAAGTGCTGGGATGAAAGGCAAGCTCCACCATGCCTAGCTCTACATTTTTTATATACATGGTATTTTTATTTTTTTTAAGTGTCAATACAAGCTTAATGATTCAACTGCTGTATACTAGCTATATCAAATCACATTTCTGTATCTACTCATGACTATGCAAAGTGCTTCCACTCTCCCCCTCACAAAGTTGTCTCTGTAGGTATAAAAACCTCTACAGCCTTCGTAAACAAAATGCTAATTTATAGATCCCTAATTTGCTAGGAAGTGCACAAGCTGCTCTGAGAGGCAGCTGTACTAAGTCTTCTGCCCAATCGTGAAATTAATACAATTTATACCATGTAGGTGTGAAGAATATCTCATTTTCATGTGTTGCCCCTACTATAAGTATGGTTAAACAATCGATCATTGCCTTCAATTGTATAAAATGACATATAATCCTACCATGCCGGATGGTGGTGCATGCCTTTAATCCCAGCACTTGGGATGCAAATGCAGAGGAATCTCTGAGTTTGAGGCCAGTCTGGTCTACTGAGCTAGTTCCAGGACAGCCAAGGCTACACAAAGAAACCCTGTTTTGAAAAACAGAAAAACAAAACAAAAATTCCTACTAGTGTTTAGCTTTTTTCTTCATAATGAAGCTACAATGTTTTGTTTCAGGGTGTTGTCATTAGAACATCCAAAGGGAGACAAGACTCCTACTCGATTTGTAACACCATCTTTAGAAAGAAGAATAAAGGGCCTTAGGAGTCTATGTCAACCATGTCTAGAGATCTTAAAATTCACTTAATCTAGTCAGGCTTGGTGGCACATGCCTAAAATCCCAGTAATAGCAAAGTGGAGGCAGGAGAACTACTACAAGTTCAAGACCAGCCTGAGCTGCAAAAATAGAAAGTGGTACAGCACTGTTGCCCAGCATGTACAACGTCCTAGGTTCAATCGTCAGAGACACGTAATGAAAATATTAATAATTTAGTGCCATGGTTTCCAAAGAGCCATTGATTTTCCATAATGAATTTGATGTTGTGATCATTTCTGTACCACAAATTTCCTAAACAAGTTTCTTTTCATTTGTAACAGTCAATGGGATTAGTATGACCCCTATCATCCTGTTTGCTTTCGAGAAAAAAATGTTGTGGTGAGTGGATGCAGCCTGTTACACGTAATAACACAACTTCCACTGACCTCCCTGAAACCCACTAGCCCTACCCCATTGTGCTGGGGACAGAACCCAGAGCCTTATATATGCTAGGTAAGCACTCTATGACTGAGCTACCAATCTGAAGTTCTGAATACAATTTCACCATTACCACTTCACAGAAACAGCAACCAGAGGGCCGTATGAGAAACCACTGCTGTTAGCCAATCTCACTGTTGAGAGGCACACAGAGATAAAGACATCTGAAGAGCAAACAAACTTGTTTCCATGAGAAACGCGGCAGACATGACCACACACTTCCACTCCATTGGGTATTGTTTGCTCTTAGTGAGAAGATAGAAAGGCACATGCCACAGAAATAAAAGTTTAGAGAAAAATTTTAACTTGTTTTACACTTTTATTTGCATGTGCATGCTGTGCTCATGTGTGAATGTGCAGGGCAGAGAAGAGTCTGCAAGAGGCAGTTCTCTCCTTCCGCCATGTGGGTCTTGGAGTCAGGCCTGATGGCAAGTGCCTTTATTCACTGAGTCATCTTGCCAGCTCCAGAGGAAAACACATTTCTTTTAACTAATTTAAATTTAATTAAAAAAAAGCCTACACTCCTCCCCCGTTTAATCCCCCTATTCTAGTTTCCCTTTTTCTCTTTATAACACTATGTTTTATTTCCTCTTATGTGGAACACAAATTTTCAAGAATGTATTTTAAATCTGTAAAGTAAATTGTAATCTCAGATTTCTTATGTCTATGGCGCTTCATTATTCCAACTCTATACCTCATTTCTGTTGTTGTTTTGGTTTTTTGTTTAGTTTTTTCGAGACAGGGTTTCTGTGTTGCTTTGGAGTCTGTCCTGCAACTAGTTCTTGTAGACCAGGCTGGCCTCGAACTCAGAGATCCGCCTGCCTCTGCCTCCCGAGTGCCGGGATTAAAGGCATGCACCACCACTGCCCAGCTTACACCTCATTTCTGACAGCAAGAAAAAAAATCCTACAGCTTTATTTCTACTTTTCTCCAAAACAAGGGACATTTCCTTTGTCCTCATATAACAGTCATTCAGGTTCAGATATAATCAAATCAAGATAAGCAGGAGGCCTACGTACTGGGGCTCCCTCAGAGTGTCCCAGGAAGAGCAGCAGCCAGACCTCACCTTACTGAGTGAAACTGAATGACAGTATATGTAACATTGTGCTAGGTGAGGCACTGAAAGGAGAGGAAGGGAACCATGTCCATTGCAGACAGCAGCTAAGTAAAGGCTTGCATGGCTAGGAAAGCAAGCCTGACAATCAAGTCAAACTGCTGGACAGAGCTACATCACAAGGCACTGAAGAAGGGTCCTTCCCACCCAGACTCTAGCATTCCAACAACATGCTAGCACAGGTGAATGACTTCCTGCAGTATCTACATGGCATTGGCCAAAGTGGGGGTGAACGGGAAGAGACTTGAGTGGCATTTACAAACTGCTGGCACGCTCAGCCCCAGGCCAGACATATATTGGCACAAGGCTCCAGCCAAGCTAACAGTCTGAGCCCTAGCTCTGCCCTGTATTATAGGATACTTTATGCGAAGGTGTGCCTGGCCCCTTCCCAACCTGTGCACACCTTAAATTGAACCACTTTTCCCACGTTCTTGAACTCCGGCAGGACATCGTGGTAGAAGTCTAGGAACTGCTGGTAGGTCTCTTCCTCACTGTACTCCAGGCTTGAATCGGGGTCATAGTCATCCCTCCTGCACTGTTCCATTCCAAACGTTGTAAACATGCTCTTAATAAGCAAGGTGGGACTTGACGTGGGGAAGTTGTGTTTACGTGAACACCTGCGGAAGAAAGCAAGCAAATTCACTTGTCCAATAACTAAAAGTAACATTAAAAACTTACCAAAAACTCTGTAACATAGTTGTTTAGACTTAACTGTGAGATAATGAACACTGTTGGATATCCAGTTATAGCACACAAGAAAACTGTCCTAAGACTGTTTCTCACTGAAATAAAAGATTGAGAATGGTTTCTAAGGTCATATGCCATTCAGGAGCTTTTGACTATATTTGGAATGATTTCTCCACATTGAACCATAGGAAAAGGAGGTCCAACAGTGTAACAGACTGCAGTGACGGGAATCAGAAGCTGCATGGGAGACTCAAGGAGAGAATTAGCAATACGATTTTGCTTGTACACAATTCTCAACTGATTTACATACTTAGGGAATACGGTAACCTGGACCAGTGAGGGGCTCGGTAGGTAAAAATACTTGCTGCATAAAGCCTGATGATCCGGATCTGATCCCTGGATCTACTTATCCTCCCTCCTCCATCTGTCTCTGCCTCACACACACACACAAAATAGTAATGATAATTAAAACATTGTTTAAGCTGGGCATGGCAGTAGGCAGTTTTAATCCCAACACTCAGGAAGCAGAGGTAGGCTAATCTCTATGAGTACTACAACAACTTGTTCTGCATAGCAAGTGCCATGCCAGCCAGTGTCTGTGCGGGACTGCCTTGCTACTTTAACTGATGTAGGGAAACCTGCCTTAACCATGGGTGGGACTATTCCCTGGGCAGGGGATCCTGAACTATCTAAAATGGAGAGGTCAAACTGAGCATACACATGCAAGCATGAAATCGCAGCTCTTCTGCTCTTGACTCTGGCAGTAATGTGACTGGCAGCTTCAAGTTCCTCCTACCTTGGTTTCTGCACAATCATGGACTGTAGCCTGGAATTGTGTGCCACATAAACCCTCTCTCCTTTAAACTGCTGGATATTTTACCACCACAAGAAAAAGAGTCAAAACACAAAGGCAGCTGAAACATAAAGAAGCACACCTCCCCAAATCATGTGACTGAGAAGAGCCTAATCCTAGAGAGCTGGGTTAACCTGGCATGTGGTCATTATAAAGTACAATAAATATAACTTAATTTTTTATTCACAGAAGGTACCCAATAACTGTGCAGAACAAGTTCTTTTCCTAGTTTAAAATGGACCAAAGTAAAGCTGACTATGCTATTCCAGAGAAATTTTTTTTTTAAAAATCATATATATGAGTTCATTCTCTTATTTACTCCTTTCTCCTGAAGTGCACTGGTAGGAGGAACTAAATAGTGCAAAGTCCTAAATAAACTTTTTCCTGGTTAGGGTTCTAATATAAAAAACAGTAATACAGGGCAGTGGCGGCACACACCTTTAATCCTAGCACTTGAGAGGCAGCCTGGTTATAGAGTTTCATCAAGGACAGCCAAGACTACACAGAAAACCATGTCTCGAAAAACAACAACAAAATCAGTAAAACAAACCTAGGGAGAGAAAAACTTAGGAAGTAAGTTGTAGAGTAGAAAATACTGCAAGAGACAGAGTGATACAATGACCCTGGTCTGAACAATAGCCATTCTGATCCACAGAGAGGTCTAGAGTAAGACCCTGTTACAAAACAAAAAGATAGAATTAAGGTGTCTCTGCAGCCTAGCACCCAATTAGTGTTGTTCTCAACCTTAGTCAGAGAAACTCCTTTTGTGGTGGACAGTGGTTAATAACTGGCCAAACTGCTGAGCAAAAGTGCCTGCTGAATGCTCGACTCTAAAATGCTCCAAGGCTCATGGAGGAATGGAAAGGGGGGTGGAAAAATGTAAGAGCTGGTAGATGAGACTGAATGCTGTGAGACACGGCTTCTAGCACACAGCAAGGCCACTGCATTCGTGAACTCAAAGCAGCTATGGCTACCTTTGTAAGATGTAGCAGTCTGAATGAGAATGAACCCCACAGGCTCATGTATTAATATATAGGTCCCTAGATGGTAGACTGTTTAGAGGATTAGGAGGTGTGTCACTTTGAGGTTTCAAAAGCCCACACCAGGCCCAGTCTGTCTGTCTCCCGCACTACCCCCGCCACTCTACCCCTTATGGCCTCTGTAAAGTGCTCAATTACTGCTCAGCACCATGTCTGTCTACTTCCCACCACGGTGATAATGAACTAAACCCTCTGAAATAATAAGCAAGCCCCCAATTAAATGTTTTTGAAGAGTTGTCTTGGCTAGGCCATGGTCTCTTCACAGCAACAGAACATTAAGACACCACACCTGCATAAATTCAAGCACATCAACATTCTAGCATTGATAGGGGTGAAGTATTAAAGGCCTTGTCTCTAGCCATCAACAGCTGCTGGGGATAAGGGACTTCCAGGATGCAGCTACTGGGAAGTTGCCAATGATGCAATAAATAACCATGCACATACAAGCAAAACTAATTAAACTCAGTGGATTACTTTAAAAAGAAAAGACATAAAAACAGAAAGAGGATGTATTGGGAAAAATGGATCCAGAGAGTGGGAGGGGAATAAGAGGGTAATGGAGGTGAATATGACCAAAATATAGTTTAGACATGTATGGAATTGTCAAAGAATCAACTATAACCAAAAAGTTGAACACACAAAAGCAAGCTTCCGAAGTGTTTCTCTGCCCGGCATGGTGTTTATATGCCTGGAATCCTAGCTACTCAGGAGGCAGAGACAGGAACATGACAAGTTCGAATTCAGCCTGGATTATGGACCAAGACCTCCTTTTGTTAGAAAAGGAAAGAAACAGAGGCATTTCTTTGGCATCTGCCAATCCTTAATAGAGATGATCCAGCTATGCTATTTGGAGCAAATGATCCAGCCTCTCCACCAAAGGGAAACACTACAGTCTATCTGTATGAAAGGACGGCACTGACTTTCATAACCACTAACTATGCAGTTCTATGCACCTCAGCACTTGACAATGCAAATAGCTATGTTCTTCTCACACTCTGACAGTGTGATGGTAAAATCTCATATGCCTTATGACAATGCTAAGAAGCGGTCACAAACTAATCTGACTACAGCCTATATTCTTTTTGAACGACTATCAGAGATGGAATCTGACAGGCCACTCCCTTCTCCACAGGAATTTCTGTCCAGCATTCATAAAACTATTCAATACACCTGTCCTCTCATGTCCAACAGGGGAATCCTAAATCTGGCTTCCACGGGCCTTAAATCTCAAGGAAATTAGAGACACATCACAAACCTTAAAGGCAGCTTGGCTCAACTATTCGTGTGAATGTGAACTAAGTCGGGGCTCATTTATCCCTAGAAGGCCATCTGTCCAGCATCTTGCTTTAGCAGCAGCAGTGTAGGGATAGGTCCCACCCCTTGGGGGGCGTGGTAGCCTCGGGCTAATGTCTGCCTATAAATTTGGCGAGCATGCTCCCAGCCATTGCTTCTGCTTTTCTGGTCTCTGCAGGAACGGTGGTTCTGTAAGTCTATTTCTACATTAAAGCTATAAATATATATTGTTACAATCTGTCTGCATTCGTTTACACCGCTACATTTTGGCGTCCAATGTGGGCTATTTTGCCCCCTACTCAAGTGGGTAGCCTGCTAGCTAACGGAGGGTGCTGTTTTTTAGTTCGTGACTCCGGCCCCAGTGCCGAGTCCCAGACATACTCGGCCACACAGGCCCATTCTGCCTGCCTTGGCTAAGTTTGCAGCGGAACCCCACTACCTGAATTAGCAGAAGCTCAAGTACCTGCGGTTTTGCAACAAAAGCTGCCACAGCGGCAGATTTGGTCTGATACAAAGTGACTTGGCCGGGCAGTGGTGGCCCAGGCCTTTAATACCAGCACTTGGGAGGCAAAGGCAGGCGGATCTCTGTGAGTTTGAGGCCGACCAGGCGGTAGTGGTGCCCGCCTCGGGAGGCAGAGACAGGCGGATCTCTGTGAGTTCGAGGCCAGCCTGGTCTACAAGAGCTAGTTCCAGGACAGGCTCCAAAAACACAGAGACCATCACTGGCAGGAACCGATCATTGCAGGTAAGAAATTTTTTCTTCTATAAATAAAATGTCTGAACACATTAGTATTCAAGAATTTAACAGTTTTTTTAATTGTACCATGTGGGAGATTTTACAAGAGGTGTCTATCACCCCACATCTATGGATCCTTCTGGGATTCGTAGTTTTCATTGGCACCAAATGGTTTGATAATAGAAATATGATAAAGTCTTTACGAGACGAATCCAGGATTCTTAAGGCAGAGATTGAACGCTTAAAAACAATTGAGAATGACAACAATCTTCTCAAGAATCAGTTTGAAGTTCTCCAGGCTGATGTTAAGGAGAAATTCATTACTATGGAAGAGGGAACAGCTGATCTGGATCGTAAGCTTCAGTCCCTTTCTGTAGGAGCTGAAACATTAGTGGCTGATATTAAGGAGAAATTTATTACTATGGAAGAGGGAACAGCTGATTTGGACAATAAGATTCAGTCCCTTTCTGTTGGAAATGAAACATTAACTGAGAGAATCAAAACTGCTGAATGTGACAATCGGATTTTGTCTAAAGCTTATGACAGATTGGCAGAAAGATAGTCAATACAAGAAGGCAAGGTTTATGCCATAAAAATTATGTCCAAAGATGAGATGTTATCTCTAACGGAAAAACTTCATACTTTAGAATCCTCAATGAAGGCTTTGGAACATAATTCTGGACAGGAGATTCAGACATTGCAGAAGGCAATGGTGAATAGAATTGAAAAGATTGAGGAATTTCTAAATTCTGATGAAGAAGAGCAAAGGGTAGAAAGGCAAATTTTAACTACATCTGTGGGTAAGTCTCTCTGGGACAATTTCCACAAAGCTCTACCTACAGCTCTACCTGCCTTTCCAGTAATAACAACAGATAAGGTGATTGGTTCCAAAAACCCTAGGGTCATCAAGGAGGATACATGGGAGCCTGTGCGTATGAATGATCTCAAGGAAGTAAAACAGGCTGTCATGACTTTTGGGATGCAAGCCTCTTTTGTTAAAGAGATGCTAAAATCTTGGGCCACGACAAGCAGAGCAACCCCCTCGGACTGGCTCCAGCTGAGCTCTGCGGTACTCGAGAGTGGACCGCAATTGAAATGGAAATGCTTATTCAGGCAAGAGGCTAGACTTTTAGAACAGCAGGAAAAAGCGAAGGGAATTGACATTTCCCTAGATAAAATTCTAGGTGAAGGGCTCTTTTCCGACCCTCAGGAACAAGCTAATTTGGAGGAAAACACACTCTCCATGTGTACTACAGCAGCCTTAAGGGCTTGGGACAGGGTACAAGACCCAGGACAGAGAATGGAATCATTTGTCAGAGTTAAACAGGGTCAGAGAGAACCCTTTTTTTTTCTGTTATTTTGTACTATTCTGGTTTGTCATTTATTTTTTAGATGTCTGTCTGTCTTCTAATGAGAGAAAGAAAGGGTGTAGATTCTGGTGAGTGAAGAGGTAGGGAAAGATCCAGGAGGATCTGGGGGAGGAAAAGGCATGATCAGAATGTTATTATATGAAGAAAATCTTGTTTTCAGTTAAAAAAAGAAGAAGAAAAAGGTCTTCCTATGGCTGTGGAATACAAAGGATCCACTCTGTTAACCCTATCGAGTAGGCAGGGCAAGAAGGCACCACATACCTTATGGAGAACATTCCACACTGAAGCCTATGCCTCTTCCAAAACTCCGACACTTTCCATCATTTCATTCTGACACAAAGCAAAATCCATTACCTATCGCCAAATCTGCAAGCTCCCGTTTTTGTGTAGAATGGACAATTGGCTCGATCTTTCTCCAATACTCTCACATCCGTGGGCGGTTCTGGGTTCTGCCAGGTGCCACCATTTTCCAACTGTTAAAAATAACCACGACTTAACTGATGATGTAAAAGCCCATCAAAAACTTGTTTGTCCAAATAGTCAAATATTTTAATCAAGAAGAAAAATGCTTTCATATATAAACATGCATAGTTAAATTACAATAAAATCTTAAGGGCAATTGTTAGAAACATGAGCTTTTCTTCTTTTCTTGGCTCCCAGTCATTTTCCTTGATTGGGGGTTACTTAATGCTACCAGATACAGTCATGAAGGTCTTCTTTCTATCCATCTATTCTGAAAGGGTCCATGGTCATAGGGAGCCACCAGAGAGAAGTACAGTTACTCTGAATCAAGGTGCGTAAACCAACCATTTGGGACTGGTAGTATGTGATGTAACTCACATTTTTAGAACTTAATACAAGCATAGCCCATGGGGTGATGCAATACCACCATCAACCGTCTTCTATTGTTATATAACTGCAAGGTTACAAAAGTGATTCCAGGTATAGGTATACAGAAGTAATCCAAACAAAATACCATAAAACTCATGGTTTTGGAACTATTATTGTTCCTAATGAAATATTAATTGATCTCAAAATCTTTAAGATGGTGTCTCTCCATGTAGCCCAGGCTAGCCTCAAACTTGCCATTCTCCTGCTTCAGCCACCCCAGGGCTAGATGAATGGAACATGCACCTCTACCTAACTCAAAGTCTTAATGAAAGGTTGTGAAAATACCTCATTTTCAGCCTGATCCAGCATCTTCTGCACAGCTTCCTATAAGTGGTGCAAACATAGAACTAATGAAAACCAGGATGTCAGGTAAGTCATGTCCGGTTTCTCTAGTTATGAATCTCATATATGACAACCCACACGTGAACACACATACAAAAGGCTTCTGGTTCTGATTTCCTTTCTAAGCATACACCTCCTAAAAAGCTTTCAAAAGATATATAGGTTAGAATTTTTATTCAAATACAAAACTTGAATAGAGCACATTGCAAATATTGAAGTCATAATAGCTTCAGTAGCATATCTGTACATAAATACCATGTTCTAGCTCTTGAGATATCAATGACTATATTTTAAAAGTTAGGTTAAACATCACAATTATTTAACAGAAGCAAAAATATGACATGGTGAGTAGTATTAGGATTTAAGAGAAATCTCAAACCTTTAGTAAGATAAAGGAAGTCCAACAAGGTAGCAATAAATCTCTAAGTAGTTGGCTTTAAATACATATAGTCAGGTACCTTGGTGCCTTAAAACCATATATACAACTGTGTTTAGCTGCTTACTTGGTAAGTCTGCCTGGTCCTGGCAACTTAAAAGTCACTGAAGCAGTCAGGTATGGTGGCGCAGGCCTTTGATTCCAGCCGTGAGAGGCAGAGGCAGGTGGAGTTCGGGGTTCTAGGCCAGCCTGGTCTACAGAGTGAGTTCCAGAATGGTCGGAGCTACAAAGAGAAACTCTATCTCGAAAAACCAAACCACGCCAAACAACAACAACAACAGCAAAAAGAAAAACAAACCAAGTCATCGTAGTTGAATGTGATCAAAACAGGTTCTTTTGGCTTTGGTTTTGGCTGAGGGTTGGAAATCAAATTCAAGGTTTTACTTTCGCCAGTAAGTTCTACCCCAGCCCCTCAAGGGACCTCTAGATCTCCACCTATGCACCCTCATCCTCCAAACCTAAACATCCCCAGTCACTGGCACTGCCATTTTCCCATTTGTTTAAAAAAACAAACAAAAATGACACCTAAAACATGACTTCTGCTCCTTTTCCTTCTCCCTGCCATGCAATCTGCCATCTAGTCAGCCCTGTTAACTGTGTGCGCATCTGTCTGAAGCTCTGTCTTCATCGGAGCCACCGTTATCTCCGGCCCACTGTATGTAACTGGTCATCCTATTTCCTCTCTGGCCCCTGTTCTTTGTAGAGAAATTGGGGTGCTCTGTTGGAGGTGACATTGCTAACAGGATGAAGTCACCCCTTGTTTAAAAGCCCTCATCATAGTATGGTAAATAAAACCTAACTTTTAAATCTAAGAGGCTCGTGATCCTCCTGCCTCCGTCTCCTTCAGCAAATCCCAAGGAGGGTGACACCAACACAGCAAATGCTTTTGTTTTACTGGGCTCAAATAACCTGGGCAGAGACTGACTAGGCAAGCACGGGGCCTGCTTGGGTCTTCACCAGGACTTCTGCGCCATGTTATGGCTGTTAGCTTGGTGTTTTTGTGGAACTCCCAACAGTGGGAGCCGCTGTACCTCTGACTCTTGCCTGCTCCTAGGACTCTCTTCCTCCTACTGGGTTGCCTTGTCTGGCCTGGATGAAGGGCTTTTGCCTTGTCTTATTGTATCTTGTTTTGCCCTCTTTGACTCTTGTCTCTTGGAGGCCTGTTCTTCCTGTTCTTCTCTGAAGAGGAAACAGAAGGGTCTGGGGAGAAGAGGAGTAGAGGGAGGGGAGACTGGTCTAATTGTATTGAGAGAAGAATCTATTTTTAATTAAAAAAAAAACCTAAGAGGCTCTGCATGATCTGCCCTTCTGATCCTCTCTACTTTCTCCCAGGGCTCACCCTAGTCTCCTGTGGTCTCTAAGTTTCAGGTGCCCCCACGTTCCTTCCTCCCATTATCCCTACACTCGAGTGCTAATGACCTCAAACACCACTTCCACAGAGATTTCCTTGGCCAGGTAATCCAAATAAGTATCTTGACCCCCATTATTCCACTATCCTATCTTTCTTTATTAGAGCCTACTGTTCTTACAATGTGTTTTGCTGACCGCCCTCTGCCCCTCCCATCTAGAAAAGGTCATTCTAGGAGAGCCGAGACTGTGCTTTTCACTGCCTGTCTCTGTCCACCCATGCAGTGTCTGGCACGCAAAAAAACACACATCGCACATTCCTTTATATGTATGTGCTTTATACATGGATTTCATTTTACCCACTTCTTAACCAGGCTCCCTTTAAAACAAAAGCATTTAGAAGAAGCCTTAGCTTTTAACTGATCCACGAAAGTTGAACAATATTCTACTGTTAAAACAGGAGATGGTTCATCTCTGTAAAGTACTGACAATCTAAACAATTGTGCCCCTAACATCCCCATCTGGAAATTGCCTCATGTGGAAGGCAGTGCCCAAACAAGGGTGCCAACACCCTGTACCGGATCTGCCACCTGAGACACAAAACTGGTTGTGGAGACGGCTGCTACCTTTCCATGACACATATATCTCTTCCCATTCTAAGATGAGTGACTACGGAATATCATGCTGTTCAAAGTTGGTGATGCTAAAGAAAAAAAGGAATAAAGAATATCCTCAAGAATCAGTCAAGGGAAGATAAGCCGTGTTATATTTGAAAGAAATACACTTTTGAAGGCCAGCAGGAAAACAAACCCATAAAATGTACACGAGATATGCAAATACAATACAGAATTTCCTTTTTTGTAAGCAATAGTGGGGGTTATTAAGGAAAGGTTTTTAACAAAGATTTAAGCATAAGCATTAAGAAAACATGTAAGAAAAGGACAGCAGCATTATGTCCTAGAGTGCGCACAGGTTTCTCAAACAGAAGGTCCCTTGGAATTTCTTAAATGACTGCCATTTGCTTTGACAACAAAGTTAGATAGAACAGCAAATACAATGAAAAAACTATTTAATTCCTTAATGCCTAACATCCTGATTGTATTAAACTAATTCTTGCTGAGATGCCATTAGCTGTTAGGTCGCATATGAATTAAGAAAGCGTGCAAACTAGTCAAGATACTGTTTTTCTGTGAAGAAGTCAACACATATACAACAGAATCATAGAGAAGTTAACACTTGCTATAGCGCGGTACAAAGTGTAGAGCAGGGCCAGATGCCCAGTTTACAGAAACGGTTTACTAGAACACAGCCACATCCATTCATATACATACTATTTCTGTCTGCTTTAGGGTGCACTGGCAGAGCTGGATGTCCACAGAAGCCAGACAGACATCACAGCTAAAACATTGACTAGCTGCCCCTTGGGGAAAATGTTTACCCATCTCCAACATAAAAGGTAAGGGAATGTGGGTAAAGGAATCTGCCATTGCACGACCCAAAGAAGAGAAACATATGGGAGCTAGTCTAGAGTATTCCTAACAAAAACTGACACTTTCCAAATGAACAGAACACAAGCAAAAATTAAAACCAAACCCCAGCCCTGACATGCCCACTGCCAATTCCATAAGCCCATTACATGCACACATGCACCCTAAGAAGATATGCAGGGCTCTATCCTCCCACGATAGAAGTCACCTCTCTTTCTCTCTTCTCCTGCTGTCTCTGCTCCTCTTCCTCTCGTTCTTTTCTCTGCTGCTCTTCCCATTCTGCTTTTAACTTTCTCTTTAAAGGAAAAAAGAGAAAGTCATTTTTTAACTCATGCTTAAAAACACATAGCTTACAGAGTAAATGGCTGAAATTTTTTAGAAACAGTGGTCATTGAAAAAGAGACAATATCAGTTTTTTTCTAAATGTTAACACATGTAGCTCCTTTTTTGTTTACACAATGTTGAGGCTAGAGCCCAAGGCCATGCACATGCTGGGCTAGAGCTCTGCCACAGAGCTATATCCCCAACTACAAGAAAACAACTTCCTTTTTTCTTTTTCTTTTTTTCTTTTTTTGATTTATTTTGTTTTGGTTTTGCTTTGTTTCAAGACAGGGTTTCTCTGTGTAACCCTACCTGTCCTGGAACTAGCTCTTGTAGACCAGGCTGGCCTAGAACTCACAGAGATCCGCCTGCCTCTGCCTCCCAAGTGCTGGGATTAAAGGTGTGTGCCGGAGATTTTGTGTGTGAGTGTCCCTGTGAACATATGTATATGTGAGGGTACACATGCAGCAGCCAAAACAGAGCACGGAATCCCTTGGAGCTCAACTTAGACAGTTAGTGGTGAGCCACCACATGGGTGGTGAAACAAACCCAGGTCCTCTGGGAGAACAGCCAGTAAGTGCCCTTAACCACTGAGCCATCTCTCCAGCCCCACAAATAACAACTCTAATGTGTATTGGTGTCATGCCTGCATGTATCTGCACCATGTGCATGCCTGGTGCCCCAAAGACCACAAGATCCCCCAGAACTGGACTTCTGGGTGGTTGTGAGCCACCTTGAGGGTGCTGGAAATCAAAGCCAAGTCGTTTAGAAGAACCGGTATTGCTCTCAACAACTGAGCCATCTGTCCTAACAAACAGCTCTTTATGAGACTTACTTCAGTTCAGTACTTACTCAGTTAGCAGGCTATTTAATACTCTACCTCTTGTTCTTCCTTCCGTTTTCGAGCTGCTTCTTCTTTTTTCTTCTTTGCACGGAATTCCTCTTGTGCCTTCTCTTCCCTCCGTAACCATTCTTCATGCAATCTTTGCCTGTTAATATAAAGATGCAGTCAGTAAAAACAAATGGGAATTTCTAGAACATATCAAAGACAGGAAACCAAAATACAACATGAAAATATTAAGGTATTTTCTGTAAAGCAGTGAGGAGGCATGGCCTTTGGAAAAGCAACTATCTTCCTGGAGAGAAATAAGTGACAATTACTATTCCCTTTCAATAGCATTTATGGCCGTGACATCTTTTCTTCCTGTAAAAAGTAACAGTGACTTTATCTCAGGAAAACATCTCAAAGCAACATCTATATGGATTTCCACATTCATATGGTATTATTCTTCCTGGTCTATGCTTTCTTTGCCCACTACCATTACTCATTCCTCCTACTCTTTTTGTTTTTTGTTTTTTTTTTTTGAGACAGGGTCTCTCTATGTAGCCCTGGCAATCCTAGAACTCACTATGTAGACCACGCTGGCTTGAAACTCTATGATTTGCCGGCCTCTGTCTCCTCAGTGCTAAAATTAAAGGTGTTCACTACAACTGGCTAAATCTACATTTACTAATTTATTTTTATAACTTTTCATCTTGTCTTAAAACTTTCATTTGTACGTGTATGAACATTTGCTGGCATCTAAACATCGGTATCACATGCATGCCTAAAGGGGCCAAAAGAAAGCATCGGATACCCTGGAACGGAAATTACAGATGACTGTGTGCCAGTGGATGCTGGGAACAAACCTGAGTCAAAGTAAGTGCTCTGACTCACTGAGTCTTCTCTCCAGCTCCCTTAAAACTTTTAAGACATGCTTACAACTCACAGTGGCACTTCCCCACCCCCAGCACTTTAAAGAGTCGAAGGCAAATCACAGGAATCCCTTAACTCTAAGGTTATAGAGAAAGATGCCAGGATTTTTAACGCTGTAATGATTACTGACTTTTTAAAGGCACAGAATAGCCAGAAGGTACATGTCGATGATCCTAACAACTGGAAGGCTGAAACAGGATTACAAATTCTAGACTAATTTGGGCTTACATAGCGAGACCCTAGCCCCCCATAAAACAAACAACACCCCTCTCCACAAAAAGATAATGTTACCATAGATTGGTACGTCCCAGACATTCAAGAGCACAAGTTTCTCATTTAAAATCTTCACTGTCAATGTGAGTAGATTTGGAATCATCTAGGAAATGCTGCTCTGGGTATACCTGTGAGGGAGTTCCAGGGAGTATTAACTGAGGAGGGAAGACTCACCCTAAGTATGAACCCGTATCTTATAGACTGCAGTTCCTGGCTGAGTATGAACCCTTATCTTATAGACTGCGGTTCCTGGCTGAGTATGAACCCGTATCTTATAGACTGCGGTTCTTGGCTGAGTATGAACCCGTATCTTATAGACTGCGGTTCCTGGCTGAGTAATAAGGGAAAGGGGGAAAAAAGATGAGTGCTCACTCCCTGACTAAAAGAGACAACTGAAGCCAGGTTGTGATGGCACATGCCTTTAATCTCAGCACTTGGACAACAGAGGTTACCCTGATCTACAGAGTAGCCAGTTCCAAGACAGCCAGGGCTACACAGTGAAACCCTGTCTTGAAAAACCAAAAACTACAAAAATAAAAATAAGAAAAAATAGACAATTTGGAACAGCTGTTTCTCATTCCTACCGCCACAGCAAGAGAAGTTACCATACCTTCCCCAGTCTGATGAACTACAGAGGACTATAGATTATGAATAAAGAATTACGCTACATCCATATAACACATAGTGTTATTAGAATTAGGTCTTTGTGTCAACACTAAAATATAAATACGTTTACTTACCAATTAGAAAAGCAATGAAAGACGGGTAGTGGTGGCACATGTTTTTAATCCTACCACTTAGGAGGCAGAGGCAGGAGGATCTCTGCCAGTTTATGGCCAGTCTCGTATACAAACTGAGTCTGAGGACAGCCAGGGCTGTTACACAGAGAAACACTGTCTCGAAAAACAAAAAGAAAAGAAAAGCAGAGCAATGAACAATACTTCCACTAAAAAAACAAAAAAACACAGTATGATGTCAGAAGCCAGTAATTCCAGCATTCGGGAGGCTAAGGCAGGAAGGGGAGACCAGCCTGGAAAAGAATAACAAAAGAGAAAGAAAGGAAAAAAAGACAAAAAAACATCTAATTTTAGCCTGTCGGCTAGAGATTTGGTTTATAAGAGGTATTTTTTACAGGATTTTATACAGAAAGCCTTTCCTAGCTGGTAAAGATGGATAATATTACAATAACCCAACAGTTGACTTTAAGTGTTTCAATTAGTCCTGACCTCTCTTCCTCCATCAGCCTTTCTTCTTCCAATCGTTTTTCTTCAGCAATAGGATCTTCTTCCTCCTCATTCTGTGCCAATTCTGTAGAAATTCACATGTTTTATTAAACTGAGTCTTTATTCATGGAAAATGCATAAATCTCTAACTTTTACAATGATGGTAAAAACCTAAAATTAAGGCAGTGCCACGCGCCTTTTATCCCAGCACTCAGGAGGCAGAAGCAAACGGGTGTCTGAATTTGAGGCCAGCTTCATCTACACAGTAAATTCCAGGGTTACAGATCCTACCTCCAAAATGTTTTTAAAATACTTAAAAGGGATAGTATTTTCACACTGGGAACGGACCCTTCATTCTCTGGAAGAACAGTCAGTGTTTTTGTTTTTTTAAAAAAACACAAACTTTTGTCCTTCTTTCATACCTTACCCTCCCTCCAATCCCCCCAGTCCCTCCCCTACACCGCCCCTCCCTCCCTCAAATCCTCCCAGTCCCTTCCCTGAACCTCCCCTCCCTCCCTCCAATCCTCCTGGTCCCTTCCCTGCACCTCCCCTCTTCCCCAGATCAACTCCTGAGTCCCTTCAATTAAAAAAGAGCAGGCTTCCCAGGGATAGCCACCAAACAAGAGAGGACTTTTCTATGTAGGCCAGGCTGGTCTCAAATTCAGAGATCTGTTGGGGAAGGCTGCTTGTTCATTTACCAGCTGCCCAGACCCCCAAAATAATTACACAGAAATCTGTATTAATTGCTATACTGTTTGGCTAATACCTTAAGCGTATTTCTGACTAACTCTTATATCTTATATTAACCCATTTCTATTAATCTGTGTATTACTAAGTGCCTGTGGCTTATCGGCAAGGTTCCAGTGCCTATGTCTCCTGAAGGCAGTTACATGGATTCCCTCTGACTCCGCCTACTCTCTCTATATATCTTTTCCAGCCTGGCTATATTCTGTTAAGCCACTGGCCAGAAGCAGATTCTTTTATTCAATAACCATAAAAGCAATACATAAACAGAAGGACTGCCCACACCAGAGATCCCCCTGCCTCTGCTCTCAAATGCTGGGATTAAAAGCATGCAGCACTAGCCGTAGTCAGCGTAACCATCGCTCCAGCCCCACGTTACTTTTTTAAATCGGTGGTTCCATAATGATACTCAGGCTGTGCAAAGGATTCAGAAAAAAAAATACTTAAACATTTGGCAAATTTATATGAAGCATGAATATTTAAATGTCCTATTTCTTTTCAACTTCTGTACATTGTTATATTTTCAAAATAAAAATGTGGTAAAAATAGTTCCAGTAGAAGAAAACTTTATATCTTCTATTCAAAATTTAAATTTGGAGGTGGGGGAGGCAGTGACAATGGAGACAAAGTAAGTTTAAGAAATTTAACAGCTCATCTTCAGGCTTAAAGGAAAAGGACTTTGTCATCAATATCAACAATTTACCACTGTTTTCTTTTCATCCTTCACATTACATCCTGTCTCTCCTGGGCTAGTTCTTTCTCAAGGACTGTTAAGCACGGCCTCTGTGGTATGACTGGTAGCCATAACCTAGAACTGCTGTGTGATTTCAACCCTATCGCCTGCATTTATATGTACTGATTTTTACAAATCTACGAAGTTTATAAACCTACATCATAAATATCAGGTTCTGTCACTTGAAAGCCAAACAGCATGGTGGCTAGCTGCACAGATGGCTTTCCACCTCGGGTCTGTGCCGGAAATAGGGGGAGCAATCGCAAGGGCTGGGGATGCCATGCCTAGCACGCAGCAAACAATCAGAGGCAACCTGGCATGGTGGCCGCACTCCTGTCACCCCAGAACTGGGGAGAGGGAGGCGGGAGAATCAGAAGTTCAGTCACCCTCAGCTATACAGCGAATTTTATTTAAAGCCAGCCTATTCGAGGTCATAGTTCAAGCGGGGATGGGAGTGGGGCGGTGGAGGGGGTAATTTCATACCCAGAAGAAAGAAGGTTTCTCATACCTGCATCTCTCAATCGGGCGAGCTCCTGTCGCCATTTCTTCCGTTTCTCCTTCTGCCGAGCAGCCCTGGACTTCTTATGGCTGGAAGATTGGAAAACACAAACGCACGGTGTGAGCCACGGACTGTTAAGCAAGGCCTCTGTAGTCTGTCAAGAACAGCACTCGGAGGCAGAGGAGGCAGGCGCCCTTCCCGTGCTACCATCCCGACTCCCGCCATTCAATTCTCCCATCCCCGATAGCAGATGTCCTCCATCTTCTCCCCTCCTCGCCTCCCCCAAACTACAGCTGCCCACTACAGCCAGGGATTCTGGGCAAAAGCAGATTAATAATCGTCCCCACGCGAGCGGCGGCGGCCTAGGTCGCCTCAGTTCGTCATCGTTTGCTGTGTTATACCTCATTTTCACTGGAAGCTCAGTCGGCTCCAATGTCGCCATGTTACCGCCTTCTCCCCTCCCACAGCGGAGTGGAAGTAGAATCACAGATGACGACACTCGCTCACACAGTGCGGCCAACCGGATGGACTCAAGACAGAAGGAGGGAGGTTTCCTCCCGCAGCTAGGCAGGCAGGAAACGCTGTCTGAGGAACTGTTTCCTCACCGAAGCCGCCGCCGGAGCTCTCCCTCCACCTGGGACTCGAGCCTTTGCTCCCCAGAGCTTCCTAGGTGCTTCGGCACCCCCCATTGCCCTTTGCGCCGGAATTCAAGGAGTTAAAGACTGGCCCCGCCTCCTTTCACCCACCAATCTAAATTCCCACCCGTGCAGCCTCGCTGGTTCCCATGGAGACGCCTCGAGGCCCCGCCCCTCTGTGCAGGTCCACCTATCAACGCCTCAGGCGGAATTTAAGACCCTCCTCCTCTTTACTGAAGGGGGTGGCTCAGGCTGCAAAGGCATCAGGTTTGTCACCTGGTTCACTCCTAGGACATGGAGAGGGACTGACACCTAGGTTATAAGGAGCAGGTGAAGGTAATTTATTGCGCTGGCACTTGAGTTGAGCTTGGAAGAAAGATAATCTTTACCAAGAGAGGGAAGAGAAAGAACAAAGTTCGAGGCCAACCTGAGCTACCTAAAACCAGTCAAGCAGGGCAGTGGTGGTGAAGGCCTTTAATCTCACCCATCTGGAGGCAGAGACTTGAGGATCCCTGTAAATCCAAGGCATACTGGTCTACAAGAGCTAGTTCCAGGACAGGCTCCAAAGCTACCGAAAATCCCTGTCTTGAAAAACAAAAGACAAAACAAAAAATACTGTATCACAATAATATAGGTAAGGTGTGATGTGGAACTAGATGGAAAAAATAAAAATAGGGCTGGCCATAAACAAGGGTCACGGAGTCTACAATTGGTGATCCCAAAGAAGCTAAGTAAGAAGGTGAACCAAAGGAAAAACATGTAGTTGTCCTCTTGGCTATGGGAAGTAGACAAAATTGCCGGGGAGAAAATTGAGATCTTGGGGGTGGGGTGGGATGGGGGTAAGGGGAAATGGGGAGAGAAAAGGTAGAAGGGAAGGAGCGGGGGACTTGGGAAACAGGAGGATTGGGATAAAGGAAGGTTAGATAGGGGAGCACGGAAGCACAATTCTTAGTTAAGGGAGCCACCTTAGAGTTGGCAAGAGACTTGAACCTAGAGTGGCTCCCAGATGCCCAAGCCGAGGTCCCCAGTTAGTTCCTTGGGCAGCTGAGGATAGGGAACCTGAAATAACCCTATCCTAGAGCAATACTGACGAATATCTTGCATACCATCATAGAACCTTCATCTGGTGATGGATGGAGATAGAGACAGAGACCCACACTGGAGCACTGGACTGAGCTCCCAAGGTCCCAATGAGGAGCAGAAGGAGGGAGAACATGAGCAAAGAAGTAGGGACCACGAGGGGTGCACCCACCCACTGAGACAGTGGAGCTGATCTATTGGGAGCTCACCAAGGCCAGCTGGACTGTGACTGAAAAAGCATGGGATAAAACTGGACTCTCTGAGCATGGCGAACAATGAGGGCTGATGAGAAGCCAAGGACAATGGCACGGGGTTTTGAACCTACGTAATGTGCTGGCTTTGTGGGAGCCTAGCCAGTTTGGATGTTCACCTTCCTAGGAATGGACAGAGAGGGGAGGACCTAGTACTTACCACAGGGCAGGGAACCCTGACTCCTCTTTGGACTGGAGAGGGAGGGGGAGAGGAGTGAGGGAGGGGAAGAAGGGTGGGAGGAGGGGGAGAAGGGTGGGAGGAGGGGGAGAAGGGTGGGAGGAGGGGGAGAAGGGTGGGAGGAGGTGGAAACTTGGTTTTTTTTCTCCTTTTCTCAATAAAAAATAATGGAAAAAAAAACAAAAACAAAACAAAAAAAAATAGGGCTGGCAAATGGTTAAGTAGGTAAAAGTGCCTGCTTTCAAGCCTGAGGACCTGAGTTCAATTCCCTTAATCCCCAAAGACCCACATAGCAGGAGAAAATTAATTCCCACAAATTGTCCTCTTACTTTGATATGCGCAACTACACATGCTCTCACACAAAATAATAAATAAATGTAAAAACAATAGAAGAAATCCTTGCTAGTAATATACACAAGGCCAAAAAGAAAGAAATGTTTCTACCAAACTCACATTAACACCATCTTTAGAAGGAATTTTCCCTTGATTTATCTTCGTACAAAACAAATCAAAATAGCATTTTCTTCACATTTCATAGCTGTCTTCTCGGTTAAGAAGAGGTTCTGCTAACAGGAAGAGACCCCTACTGCTAGCCATAAGCACTTTTTCAGGATATTGATAACAAGTCCCACAGGAAAATCTGGGAGATGTAAGGGACCCTTGTTTAGCAGCTTGGACTTCGTGCCCTTGTGGCTCTCGAGGGAATTGATCCACATCTTCACATGTTGTAGCAACTTGTTGCAATGCTTGTCAAAGGCCTTTACCTCAGACACGCTATTCTTGTTGTTGTGACAATCGATGAACACTTGCTTCCTGGGCTGTTTTCTGTTTGTTTGTTTGCTTTGCTTTGCTTTGGTTTCTTCAAGATAGGGTTTCTCTGTGTAGCCCTGGCTGTCCTGGAACTCTCTTATTTAGACTAGACTGGCCTCGAACTCACAGAGATCCTCCTGTCTCTGTCTCCTGAGTGCTAGAATTAAAGGTGTGCCCCACCACCGCCAGGCTGGAAACATTTTATTCTGAAGATTGCATAAGATAGTCCATACTATAAACAAAAGGAAAAGTATTAGCTCAGGACCCCAAGACCAAATTCTTAGCATGAAAGAGATTGATTTTCCTGAGAAGTACAGCGGGCAGGGAATAGAGACAAAGACAGGAGATGGAGGACAAGGGAGAAGGGAAGGGAACAGAGGAGATGGAGGAATGCTATTTGTCCTGCGGTGACAAAGGACTGCCTCTGCAAATGGCAGTTTATAAAGGTAAAGGGGGGAAACCCCTGTTAGGATGAGGTGTTTAATTTTAATTGGGCATGTTACTTAGGTGAACCAAAGGGGGCTTTTGATTGCTGGACTTCAATACATTGGTACCTGGACCTTGGTAGTCAGCCTCAGGAGAAGGAACTGGCCAAATAAGAGAATAGATCTTGGTGGCCAGTTTTAGCAATGTAATATAAGGCTTTTTTTTCAGCAGTAAGGAAGAGGGAATGGGGGAGTAGGGCAAGGCCTGCCAGAATCACGTTTGCCATGGCTGGGCTGGCCAGAGTCCCTTCAATCCATGCACACAGTGCTTAGCAAGTGTATCCCCAAACTTAAGCCATGAAAGCGCCTATCATCATCACTGGTGTGAAAACTTCCTGACTCTCCTACCAAATGTGGGGGCTTGCTGGTGGGGCCACACTCCCGTCACCTGTATTTCCCACCTACCCCCGTATGCTGGCCTGCCTTTCTTCCCTTGCATGCCTCTTACTTTAAAACCTTCTGCTTGTTTCATTTTGTTTCTTACAAACAGTGGCTCATCTACAGAGCCACTCAATAGCCGAGCATGACTTTGAACTCCTGATCCGCCTGCTTCTACAGCCCATGTGCTGGGACTATGGGTGTATGCAACATGCCAAGCCCTTGCATAAATCTCAATTTTTTTGTGAGATTTGGAAAAAACAGCCTGAAACTACAAAACAGCTCGGCATGGCAATGGCGATTGCAGCTGTGTGACTCCCCGATTGTACAGACCCCCGCGACTAGGATTTACACTTCAAATTGCTGCCATCCGGAAAGCATCAGAGCTTTAGTGGCTGCAACAGGCGCTGCGTGTGACTGTCACTTGCAAACAAATAGCACATCTTCTGGGAAGATGTTCCGATTTTTTAAAAAAGCACAGATGTAGATTTCATTTTATTATGATTGATAAAGGAACGTAAATCGCCTTCAATTGGAGGAAGACATTTATTTTCAAGTTAACTACTGAATTCATTTTCAGGAAACAAGCTTGAATTGCTCAAGTTAATTTCTTTACAGAAGGAGCTCTGGAAGCCAATTCCCTCTCCAAACTAAGATTACTACCATTTGAATCCAATAAAGAAAAGGGGGAGAGATGAGTAGACAACCTTATCCTTATCCATGTGCAGGTGAGTTTAACCTACCCAGTTCTCCCTCCTGTCTTGCCTATGTTTCTTTAGAGTAATTGCAGAATCTACGGGCAAAGAATGGGCCTGCCCCAATTAACCTGGACATTGTTCCTGCCCCTCTTTTGGAATCTCCCGTTTCATTTAGGGAGGAACTACTCTGGACAGTCCAAACTTGATTCCACTCCATTCAAAGCAGGATGACCTTTTCAATTTTTTGCCTGGTAAGTCCTACAGCCCTTGGGGTATATACAACACAAAGGCAGCAGCCTTTGGGGGGGGCTGTAATAGAAGTGAAGCTGATGCTGCCCAGCTTCTGTCTACCCCAGGAAGCTTTGGAGGACCACCCCACAAATGACCCTAGGATTCTCTTGTGCCTTGTGAGAAATATGCCTGGTTTGTCAACCTTCCCTATGAACTTGCTCTGTTTGGGAACTTAGATGAGTTGGGAATGTCTGTGCAGTATCCCTATCCCACACCATGTAGTCCTGGGGAGAAAGAATGGGAGTAGCTGCCAGCCTCGTCTAGTGACATCTGAAGATTGTGTGCTGGGCTATGCAAGCTGTGGGAAACTAGCTGGTTCTCCCCATTATTCTTTCTCTAGTAAATCCCTTCTGAGTTTTCCAGTTGCTATCTCATCTGTTAAAGGGTGTCTCGTTGATTTTTTTTTTTTAGAAATCTTACATGTCCAAACAACTAATGAGAATGAAAACCCATTACAAACCATTAACATTGTAAATAATAATAAAAGTGTGGAGGGGCTCAGTGGCCTACCTCTGCTTAATGGATAGGAGCAACAATTTTCGTGCAAAACTCTTTGGCTAGGGAAGTAGTTCAGTCAGTATTGTGTTTGGCAGCAATGTACAAGGCGCTGGGTTCAGTCCACACGAAACTGGGCATGGTTATTGTTGTGGCTGCAACGAGACGTCTCCCCCATAGGCTCCTGTGTTTGAACACGTGGTCCCCAGTTGTTGGCACTGTTTGGAAGGGCTATGGACTGAGCCTTTTGGGGAGCCTCGATGGAAGAAGCCCACCACTGGGGGTGGACTTTGTGTATTTATAAATTCACTTTCTCTCCTCTCTTTGCTTTTTGTGTGGATGGAAACGTGATTAGACAGCTTCCTGCTCCGCTCCTGCCGCCATTCCTGTTCCACCATGGGATCTATCCCTCAGGAATCAGAAGCCAAACTAAACCCTTTCTTCTCTAAGGTCAAGATAGTTTTTCCCAACCACAGAAAAGTAAGACAATGCTGCACACTGTAACCCGAGGGCATGGGAGGTGAAGGCAAGAATATGAGGGATTATAGGTACTCTTCAGCTACGCAGACACTAGGAAGCCAATCTGGGATACATGAGATATGAGATTCCGCTCCCCCCCCACACCCCTCTGGACAAGACCTTGGACCAGTTCATGTTTTGAAAGGTACAAACAAAACATATTTTAAAGTACAAGGTCTGTAGTGGTTTGAATAAGAATGGACCCAAAGGTTCATATATTTGAATACTTAGTTACCCAGGAGTAACACTATTTAAAAAGGATTAGGGGGTGTGGCCTTGATGGAAGAAGTATGGTCACTGGCGTGGGGGCGGGACTCTGAAGTACCAAAAGCATACACTGGCCACAGCATCTTCCTCACTCTGCCTATGGATCAGGATGTAGTTTCCAGTACCCTGCCTCCCATGCCGGCTGTCATGCTCCCCACCATGATGATAATGGACTAACCCTCTGAAACTGCTTTCTTTTGTAATAGTTGCCTTGGTCTTCGTTTCTCTTCACAGCAATGGAACAGTGACCTGTTGGGAGCAGTCAGACCCCAGATCCTGAATTTCTTGTAAACAACTTGTAATCTACAGCTGCTCTGAGTACGAGACCTTCAGGAGTTCCTGATGGCAGGAGAGTGGTTTCTGGTGGGTTTGGCTGGGGCGTGGCTATCTCTATATAATCTGCCTCTGAACACAATAAAGGGAGCATTCTTGGGGCTTTCAGTATCAGTGTTAAGAGATCTGCATGTCGGTCTGTCTCTGCGTCTGTATTCTCAACCTCCAGCCCCTTGCCTGAAGCTCGCGAACTGGGGTCTATCGCACAGAACACAGACATGGGGGCGCGGTGCGTGGCAGTGGCCAAGACAGGGGCTCGCTATATAGCTCTGGCTGGTTTGGAACTTGCTATGTAGACTAGACCGCAAGCTCACAGTGACCCACCTGTTTCTGCTTCCTGTGTGCTGGGATTAAAGGCATGCACCACTATGCCCACCCAAATAAAACACTTTTTTTTGAGACAGGATTTCTCTGTGTAACAGCCCTTCCTGTCCTGGAACTAGCTCTTATAGACCAGGCTGGACTTGAACTCAGAGATTCACCTGTCTCTTCCTCCCAAGTGCTGGGATTAAAGGCATATGCCACCGCTGCCCAGCATAAAACACTTTTTAAAGACATAAAGCGGGGGGGTGGAGGTCCGGAGGCTGGGTGGCATATTGGGAGATGCTCCTACCGTGACACAGGGCTCTCTTCTAAGAACAAGATCCAAGGTAGCTGGTGGCTCAGCTGCCAGTGCTGATCAGCTTCCTTTGGGACCAGCACTCTGCCCAGCCAGCCTGGTTCCTCACTTTGTGCTCAGTCTATACAGTGGGCCTCAGCCGCAGGAGTGGTTGTCCTGCAAAGGACGCCCAGAGCTGAGAATGGCAAATCGTACTAGTCTCAAAGTTAACCTGGCTTTATCTCTAAGGCAAGAAAACGCAGAAGACATTTGTGTGGTCAAGATTCCTCAAGAAGTGGCCTGAGATGACCTGTGAGGATGGTTCACGACTCTCTAAACCCAGAAAGCCTAGCAAATCATGCAAATCAAGAAATCTGTATCTTCATGTTTGTTTTAAGAATACCTGTGAAATTGCCCAGGCTGTCAAGGGTATGCATATTCAAAAACCCACCAAGTGTCTCAATGGCATCGCTTTAAAGGAACAATGTGTATCATTCTTGCTGTATGATGAAAGGTGTGGGTGTGCCCTGACCAAACAGTGGCCAAGACAGAGTGTCTATGGCCCCCGAAGACCAAAGAGGGTTTGAAAGTAGATTATCTAGTTATTGATCATACCCAACGAACAAAGCATCCAAGATGTACCATTGAACTTACAGAGCTGATGGTGGGGCTAACCAATGTGTCAGCTCCTCTGCCACATTGAGATAAACCTCAGTGAAGAGGAACTGTCACGGCCACCCTCGTCCCGCAAGGATGACGCGACCACCGGAGTTCTTCTCACTGCAGTTTATTCCAGGACTTTATTCACTTTCTCTCTCCTCTCTCTTTTCTCGGGCAAACCTCTCTCTTCTCACCTCTCCTTCCTCTCTCCTTGACCTCTCTCCCTGGGCAAACCTCTCCCAGCCCTTAAGTAGGGATGGGCTGCCAATCCCGGATTTCCAGGTAGGCACTGCCCATAGGCCCACGCATATGCAAGCAGCTGATGATCATTGCGTGATCATAGCATAGGTCAGGCCTTAGCCATCTCAGGAGTTGATTATACATCTCCAACAGGTGTGACACCACGCAGCTCGCTACAAGGAACAAACTGTTCCAAAGCCAGAAGAGGAGGGTGCACAGAAGAAAAAGATAACCCAGAAGAAATAAAAGCTATAGCAAAGAAATAAATTTAGAATTAAATAAATGTAAATTGTAATGTTTTTAGTATTATTTTATGTGTATGGATGCTTGGCCTGTGTGTATGCATGTGTACCCCTTGTATATCTGGTATCTTCAGAGGGCAGAAGAAGACCTTTGATCACCAGGAGTTACAGTTGTCAACCACCACCTGGGTACCAGGAATCAAACTCCTGGAAGAGCAGCCAGTGTTCTTAACTGGTGAACCATCTCTTTGTCCAACAAATTAATTCTTTTGCTTTTTATTTTTTCGAGACAGGGTTTCTCTGTGTAATTGCCTTGACTGTCCTGGAACTTGCTTTGTAGACCAGGCTGGACTCAAACAGAGATCTGCCTGCCTCTGCCTCTCAAGTGCTGGGGTTAAAGGTGAGCACCACCACCACCCGGCAACCAATAAGATTTTAAAAGCAAAGTTCCTCTACAAAGGAGGGTTGGCTGTGGATGTTCAGCTGTTAAAGAGCATGCTTAGCATGCAGGCAACTCTGGGATCAATCCTTGGTCACACATAAATTTGTCATGGTGTCACATGCCTGGAATCCCAGCACTCAGGAGGTGGAAGCAGAAGGATTAGGAATTCAAGGTCCTGTCCCCTGAAGATGCTGAAGGGCTTTGGCCAGGAGCACCTGCCTGTGCCCTGCCAGGAGACCTGTGTTCCAGCTCTGCCCTGGACATCCAGGGAGGACAATGGCAGTGCCCTTGCCTGGCTAGGACACTCCTGTGCTGCTTAAGCAGAAGCTGCCAGGCACTATGCACATCACCCAGTTCATAAAGTGTCAGTATGGATGGCAGGTTGGTATCCATGATATGGATGGCTTCCAGGCTCACACCGAAGATGAGGAGAAGAGGACAGAGGCTCTGATCATACATGTGCTGGAGGTTGGGGTGAGAAGCGGTCACCTATGTCCACATTTTGAAAATTACATGATGTGGGAGTGTCATATATCAATCTGTTGATTTCATTGGTTAAGCAATAAAGAAACTGCTTTGGCCCTCATAGGTTAAAACATAGGTGGGAGGAGTAAACAGAACAGAAGGCGGGGAGAAAGAAGCTGAGTCGAGGAGTCGCCATGGTTCTCCCACTCCAGACAGACGCAGGTCAAGATCATTCCTGGTAAGCCAGCTCGTGGGCTACAGCTGATTATTAGAAATGGGCTAGTCCAGGTGCGAGAGCTAGCCTAGAAGAGGCTAGATAGAAATGGGCCAAGCAGTGTTTAAAAGAATACAGTTTCCGTGTAATTATTTCGGGTATAAAGGTAGCCGGGTGGCGGGAAGCAGCCCCGCCGCTCCTTATTACTACAGATTGGCGCCCAACGTGGGGCACGAACCCACAACCCTGAGATTAAGAGTCTCATGCTCTACCGACTGAGCTATCCGAGCGCCCCTTCCTTAGCATATTTTGTTCAGCGGCAAAATCCAGATCTCTACCAAGCCTATCACAGGATGACACATTAAGATTGCCAGAGGCGGCAAACCAAGGTGTAAGTGTGTCACCTTCAGCCAAAAACCTCTCCAAAGCGCTCCGTAACAGCTCGTTAAGAGCTAGAAAAGTCAGGTGTGATGTTGAAGCACCCATTCTAAACTCCCATTTTTTCTTTTAGTTTTATTTTAAACCTTCCACTTTGGTCGTGGCTATACTTTAAACCGTCTGCTTTGGTCACAGCTCTATTACCTCCACTCTCCCTTCTACCGGCGAGAGCAGAAAACCCGCTTTTTGTTGCGGATCCCCAATCTTTACCTTGAGGATTATTTGGTTCACCTGCTGACTGCAATCAGCATACTTGGAAAGACTTACCGACGTCACCACTCCGTGTGTTGAGTTCTGAATCCTCTTCGGCCCCTCGCCTGGCGACCGAAGTTCCCGGGTTTTGGCACCAGCTGCGGCGAACTTCTCAACCAGCGAGAAAGAACAACCACCACACGAGGATTCTTCTCAGATCACGCTTTAATAGAGTGTCCTTGGTTGATGGGGAGCAGGAAGCGAGGGGCAGGAAACGAGGGGCACCGAGAGCACTAAGGCAGCTGCTTATATAGAGAATTGGCAGACGGGTCGCCCTGTGATTGGCTGCCACCATCAGCTGACACCAGACTGCATCGGGATAGGCCCAAGGACCCTTATCCACGGCGCATGCGGGAAGCGGGGGACACGCAGCTCCCAAAGGCTTAGCCAAATATGGAGTTGTTTATTTCCAACAAGACAGGATGTCGGCACGATCTTGTAATGGCAATCCTGTCCGGCTCCCTACAATTACAGGTGCCAATTTGAAAGACCCAAGAACTCTGGGAGACAACAATCCAGGCGGCAGAAAGTGAAGTGTAGGTACCCAGGGCTCAGCGCTAAGAGGAGGCAGAGCTGGGGCAGCAGTGATCAGTACCTCCTTCTCACTGTGTAAGGTTCCTCCTTCGGCAGGTGGAGGACTAGCAAGAGCAGAGGGAAAGGAAACTTTGGTCAGGATGAATTAAAAATAAATGTGTGTGTGTATATGAGTTTACATGCACCACATGTGTGCAGAAACACCTGAAGGCCAGAAGAGAGCAGCAGATCTCTGCAACTGGAATTACAGGTGGCTGTGAGCTATCATGTTAGTGCTAGGAATTAAACACAGGTCCTTTGCAAAGAGCAGTAAATGCTCTTAACCACCAAGCTATCTCTTTAACTTCCTATTTTTAACTCTTAAGGTAGCTCCTCTTCACATTTGAAACTGAAGCCTCTTGTGCTGGCTAGTTTTCTGTCAACTTGACACAAGCTAGAGTCATCAGAGAGGAGGGAGCCTCACCTAGAAAATGCCTCCACAGGATCAGGCTGTAGGCAAGGCTGTGGGGCATTTTCTTAATTATGGATTAATGTGGTAGGGCCCAGCCCATTGTAGGTGGTGTCAAACCTGAGCTGGTGGTCCTGAGTTCTATAGGAAAGCAGGCAGAGCAAGCTGGTAAGCAGCATCCCTCCATGGCCTCTGCATCAGCACCTCCCTCCAGGATCCTGCCCTGCTTGAGTTTCCACCATCACTGCTCTTTATGAACTGTTATACACACTGTAAGTGAAATAACCCCTTTCCTCCTCGTGTTGCTTTTGGTCTGGTGTTTCATGACAGCAACATAACCTACCTAGGACACCTCTCCTTTCCTCTAAGGCCCTGACATGTTCC